TCGAAATGTACTATTTTCACACTCGTATCAAAATATACTATTTCATCACGCTGTGCGAAAAAGTAACTTTTTAAAACGTCCCTTTTCCACACATTGTGATGAAAAATATCGTTCGATACTCGTGGGAAAAGTGTTTTTTGGCTCGTGGGATTATATCACTCGCCTTCGGCTCGTGCTATAAACCTCGCACGAGCCAAAAAACTCTTTTCATTACGCTGTGACGAAAAGTGAACTTTTCGGCACGCTCCGCGTGCCTAAAAGTCCAATTTCCGCCACATTGTGATGAAAAATATTGTTCGTAACTCGTGAAAAAATGTTTTTTGCACTCGTTACGAAATATACTATTTTCACACTCGTAACGAAATATACTATTTTGACACTACGTTCACCTCGTGCCGAAAAGTGTCTTTTCGATTACGAGTAAACGAAAAGTAAACTGTGCCTTTTTCGTTTACTTGTAAATGAAACAGTCACAGTTCGATCACTCGCTGAACGTAACATCACTGTCAAAATAGTATATTTCGTTACGAGTGCGGAAAAGTGTTTTTTGGCTCGTGGGAGGTTTATAGCACGAACCGAAGGCGAGTGATATAATCCCACTAGCCAAAAAACACTTTTCCCACGAGTATCGAACAATATTTTTCATCACAATGTGTGGAAAAGGGACGTTTTAGGCACGCGAAGCGGGCCTAAAAAGTTACTTTTTCGCACAGCGAGATGAAAAATATTGTTCGACACATGTGAGGCAGGAATTTTCAGTTCGTGTGATTGGCAGCCCTCAGCTTCGCCTCAGGTCGCCAATTTTACACTCGTGAAAATTTCGTCTCACTCGTATCGAAATATACTATTGTTGTAACCGTCATTATGCATCTATATGTATGATGCATTGACGGTCTAATGAGGATGACCGTCATATGACGGTTATGTATGACCGTCATATGACGGGTCATGTGACGCATTTGCATCTCTAGTCTAGTCCAAAATATCAGATCATGCGCTATCCCAATCTAGTGATCTGGTCTCAGCTTATCTGCTATTCTGCACGCAGCCGTCAGCTTTGGGACTCTGTCCTCAACAGCCGGAGCCATTCAACATCAAATAACAATAATCATCCGAACGCAGTACTAACTCAATCAATAAATTCGAAGAATGTCTTCAATAGATCCCTGGTGTTTCGAAAGTTCATCCCTGAAGTATATAGCAACCGTAGAGGCAGTCCAGTTTCTATGGAGACACTTGAAATTTGGAGACAGCATCAAGAAGTGTTGCAACAAGATGATTCAACGTCAAAACAGTTCAAACCCTCCATTGTCTACGCTTCGACAATTGGTGAGTCAGAAATTCGACAGTTATGTTGACAAATTGGAACTTCCGAAGGCTATACAGGATGATTTGAGCTTCTTCTCGTGGGAAATGTACAAACAGATGTTCGACAAGTTGGAAATAGGTTTAAGAGCGTGCATGCCAACTTCAGATCCGCGGAGATTCAGTAACAACATATCTTTGTTTGTGGATTGTGTCATCTGGGACGATATTGGGTGTCTCACTGAAAAGAAAATGATGGAATATCGATTCAGCCAGAAAGAAACGATTGATTATGATTTTTGGCTCGAGCTGTGTTCCTTTTGCAGTGAAAATTACATTCGTAAATTTTCTCGCACTATCGACTGGACAAGGAGACGAGTCAATCCAGAACATAACAAATTCGCTTCGAACATTCCGATCTACTGGTACAATCAGATCTATGGCACCTTCCCGACGAAAGAAATGTTCGATTCATCGGCAGATTTCAACAAGTTCCAAAATCAGCGTGAAGCAGGAGTGTATGAGGAAAGTAACTTTCATCTCACTTTATTCAGGGAGAGCATCCGCTCGGAGAGGCTTCCAGCAGTGAGATACTTCTGGAACAAATTGACAGAGGCTCAAAAACTGCAAGTGTCCTTGGAAGTTAATTTTTCGAATATTGAAAGTATTGACGTCAAGGTTTATTTGCTTGCTCAGACAATGAAATTTAATTATTCACCAACAACGCCTGGGGATTGTGGTCCATGGGGTTATCTGCTCTGTTGGCCATGGATTCTGTTCATCGATAGTTGGATAGGTGGATGTAGAAACATGACAAATGATGAATTTCTTTCGATTTTCAACGTTTTCATGGAGCTCAGGAAGACCGAACGACAAGGGGAAAGCATTGAGGAATTCGCAAGAAGGCAATCCCGAGGCCATTTACTCGCTAAGTATTATATACCTTGTGAAAAACTCTGGGCACTTTGTCATGAAAAATTTGGGTCTGCAAGTCCGATATTACCGAAGCTCGTCGCCGTACTTTTCCTCACAGAAGATATTACACTGTGTAGGATTGTTATGAAGGGATCGACTAGTGCCTGGAGGAAAATTTGTTTGAATGAAATAAGAGGTCTTCACAGAATACTCTCGAGGTCTTCTGGCAACAATAGGCCGAAACTTAATTTTTGTGATCAGTTCATGAAGGAAATATTGGAGAATGAAGAGGAAAGAAGCATCTTCCAAAATATCGCTAAAGAAATATGTAGAAATCGATAAATCAGAAATACATCGAAAGGATTGGGTTTTCATTCGAGCGACTGCGAACGCCATCGGAGCAATTAGGATGAATTCTGAATGGAATTGATTATCATTTGTCTTTACTACTTAATGTGTCTTCCTGTTGGTCTCTTGATAATTTCTCAAATGAATTGGCTATCACTCGAGGTATTACGGCTGATGCTTTTTGAATAACTCTCGAGAATGATGCATCTCATAATATTACCGACAGATGTTTCCATCATTTGTATTGAATATTTGAGTTTATAATAAAACCGAATTGGTATAGTTTTTCTAAAAGAGTATAGAATATCCCAGTAGAACCAGGGAGTGGGGATAAAAATTGTGCACTCTAACCTCGTTTTCTTCTCGCATCCTTCAATGTATAACCCCCAAAAACATGATGATTTTGACGCACATTTTTAATAATAACTCATGGTTCCTGTGGTCATGAAGAATGAAATTGCAGTAATGTATTTAGTAATGTATTTAACATATACGATACGATAAATCAAGTATTTGGATTGTCAATCCATTATTCATAATCTAAAAGCGTTTTCTTCCAGACATAACCGTACATGACTTTGTTCGCTACATTCTCCAGTTTTTTATGCAACATTAAAAAATATTAGTTTCCGGACGGATAATTGCAAACAATCAAATTAAAAGCTTCTTGATTGTTACGATGGCCCTATTGGGTGGGTTGAATTCCCGCGTTCCTGACGTCTGGAACACATGTGCAGTGTTGCCACATTATCATTAGAGGTTAGACCAACGAAAGTCAAGTGTGAAATTCTCGAACGTAATAGAATACAGATAGAACGTAATAGAATAGAATACAGAATATGCGAGACGCTTTATATGAATCTCTCTATATAATAAAAAAATAAGGGCAAAATTTAAGACAATTCAGGCGACGCAAAAATTCAGGCGACGCC